ATAAAGTTAATGGGTTGGAAAAATGGTCAGTCTTTGGAAACAAAGTTGATATTTAATTGAAAGGAAATGCTTTTTTAATTGTAACTTCTTCAGTTTTTCAAAAATACTAACTTGAATATGAAAAAGACCCATGGAGGGTAAAATGAGAGTTCATATTTATAAGCTTGTTAGTAATAAAAATATGTATACAAATTTGAGATGACTAAAAATGCTCCTTTCCATGTGCCATAAAGGAAATCATACTGAAACAAAGACATGTATTTTTTTCTTAAAGCTTTATTTTGAATCTTGTCAAAAACAACAACTTAGAGCAATAAAATATTTGGTGACTGAGCTAGTTCTATGGCTTAAATTGCCATACTGAAGAAATAGCAGCAATAGTCCTCTAAATAACCTTAATGATAAGGAATAATATAACATATTAATAAGGACTAATATATTCAAATGAAGAAATATGAAATTAGTTCTTTAAAGAATTATATTCTTATATCCTGTCTTTATTTTAGCAAATGTTATTTTTCTTAGGAAAACTTTAGCAAAGTTACTTAACATTTTAAGAACTCTCTTCGCTTAGAACAGTCAAATCAGTTTCCTATCTAACAAAATGGTAGCTCACAACTGTTCAGGATAATAGGAGTGCAAATTTTCATTCAAGGCCATGTAGAAAATCCATAATAATATAGGAAGCATTTTTTTCTTTTAATTGGTCAGAAATAAAAATAGTTTAAAAAAATCCTTGTGGAAGTCTTACTGTAATTCAGTTATACAGTTATTATGATGCCAAGTACTTGTGCCTTGTTGTTAAGGTGCTTTTGCTCTATACTCTGTAGTCTACCATTTGTAAACACATCTTTTTGATGTTTCTGCCAACATCCTGGCAACAAAGCAGTGCAATTTCAAATGAGCTAATTAACTTAATTGTTGATGAAGCATGAAACAGTTCATTCACCCTGTTAGCTGCTCCATGACAACATAAGAGTCTCAGCCTGTGAAGTTACTCATCTCCATAAACCTATCTGTAGCTCTCTGTTTAGATCTCTTGTATACTGAAATTGTGCGTGGAAAATGTTTCATGAAAGATGCATATTCTCATTTGAAAAAGAACCTCTTATGAATTAAAAAAAAATAAATTATCACTGTATGAAGAAATTAAGGATACACAAAGTTGATTTTAAGCTAGAGAAGCCATATAATCTATCATACAAACATAGGGCCATGTAAGTTTCTTTATGATTCTCAGGGCAACAAGTAACAGCATGGAGAAAATAACAACTATCTTAAAATTTTAGTTACTATTAACTTTCAGTTTTTTATTCTTGCTGTTAAATAAATACATTAAATATTATTTAAAGTAAGAAATATAAAGTCTGCAATAAAAAATACACCTTTAAAGTCTGTCTTTTGTTTAAATATATGTATGTGTATATATATATAATATATAATATATAATATATTATATTATATATATATAATATGACTTCTCATAATGTTACTGGAAATTTTTCTTGAAACCTTGAAATTTAAGTGAATCCAACAAACACATCTTCCAGTTATTAATGACACTGCTATAGTAAGGCTACTTCTTTTTTCATTCATTCAAAAACTTTTATTGGATGATTTGTAAAATGTTCTCATGAAAAGGTAAAGAGGAAGAGTTAACCGTCTTAGCCTGACTTTGCCAATCTACTTGTTGGAACACACAGAAAACTTCCAGTGTGCCTTATGATGGACCTTCACTTTCTTCCTTCAGTTTTCTTTTGTTTATTTACAACTATTTGCTTAAAACTCCCATACAATCCACTCCCTCCCCTAAAAAAAGTAAAAAACCTACTTTAAAAACTGTCCAAAGTCTTCACAAATGCTTTCACAGCCTGGCCATTTGCAAACTCCATGGCCGTAGAGAGTGTGAGAGGCCCCAGTCTCCTCATGTGATGAGCTGCAGCAAAAGAACATGGCATCAGATTGATCTCAAAAAGCCATAATCGTTGCAGGCTGCTAGCACCTGTCAGGTTACGATCAGTGACAAACAGGTCAAAACAGGTCAATTCAGCTCAGAGCAGTCAGAAAAATTTAATCGTTCTATTGAATAGTTCAACTGCCAAGGCTAGATGATGTTCCAATTAGAGGAGAAATAGAGCCAAAGATGACTGTTAATAAACGATGAAAAACTAAGAGGACTGTATAATATCATATGCTAATCCTGCCATATGACCTTAACGTAACATTTACCTCTAAATAAAAATATATATATTCATATGTGGTCAAGTGAAAAAACCCTGTGTTTTTAAGAAAGTAATAGGAAAATCACCATAAGATTTTCTAAATGTTCTTTTTAGGGAAGATATAGACCTTTAGAATCATTTACATTGTTTAATATTTATGTGCGAACCATATGTTTCTGCTAGTTACAGCTGATTTAAAATTTCTACTTTGGAACGGTATTCATTAGCTATCTCTTTCTACAATTATCCAAGACTTTTGATAAGTGAGTATTATATCAGATAGAGAGATCCTAGAGACATCAACCAACTTCTGAACTATATAATCATCAAATTACTCTCAATTAATACAACAGCGTGAAAGCATTCAAAGGCATACCATTTTGTAATAATGAAAGCTAACAAGAAAAAATTTTTATGATACTTCTAGGAAGACAAAAAACATCACCAAACTATAGCATTATATCTTAAACTGTACTGTAATTATATGTACGTTTCTTTGAAAAAATATCTGCTTAGGGGAAAGGGTTTGTGGCAGCTAGGCAGGTATTCACATACATAACAGAACACTATTAATCCACTCCACTTAAATATGAATTTTACAGCTATATATCATATGAGACTAAGCCATTCTGTTAAGAGGTCCTACACTTATGCTTCATCTTTTAAAAAGATAGTTTTCATATTGAGCAATATTTTAGCTTCTATAGTTTATGTAAATTACATTAAAGGACCTGATTAGATAACGATATGCCTGCATAAATAGAACTAAATGGACAAAAAAGTACATGGGTGATCCTTTTACAACGGCAGTTTTTACACAACTAAAATAAAACAGTAAGTTGAAAAATTACCTAATATAAGGTACTCAGTGTTGGTAACTGAAATCAAATAATTTTTCTTTATGAGTATTGAGGCAAATTTATTCAGAAAGTTACCACCGTAATTTCATTTTTATTATATATTTATAATTCCATCATGCCACAACAGTAAAAAAGGCAAACCAGATCTTCTATCTTCTGGTTTATTATACCTGTGTTTATATGTTTATGTATATCTATTCTCTGATTTGTAAGCACATGTTTGTAACATATACAAAGGGGATATATATATGCATCTTTAATTATTTGAAACTGGTTAAGTTTTAAAATGGTAAAAATGTTCTCATTTCAGCAATCAGGTTAATCACAACATCTTAGCCATAAAAATATATTGACACAATAATTCTGCATGCACTTATTAACAAATAACTTTCTTCAGGAAATTCCCCACTCTATCCATTAAACTGCTGGTATCTGAACTGCTTTTTTTCTAATGAAAATGATATAAGTACAAATAATCTAAAGGTTTCTATCTATTTAATTAGTTGTCCTACACATTCTGCCCCTGTTAAGTACAAATCATTATTTTTAGTTTCACAAATGGTGAAAGTAAAGTTTGGTGACATGTAACAGAATGTATCTCCTGAGATTTACCTGTCTCGCCTTGCATTTAGAACTGAAGACTGTCCATTCACCATGGAGTGATGGGTTATTGGTGGTGACGCTTTGGAAGCGGTGGGGGAGGTAGTCGAGGAGGAATTGTTAGTAGTGAGGTCTAGCCCTCCATGCTTAATGCCGTTGTCTTCCATACTGTGAACTCCAGTCACTTCTTTCCATAACTGCTGAATCTCAGCAGGACTTAAGCCAGCTATAAAGTGAAAGAAAGCCCCACTAATATAACAAAGTAAATTTCATATAATGAGCTTAGTATTATCACTGGATTAAGGCCAACCACAAAAGTGATGTTACCAGAATTATTAATATATGATAATAAGCCACTTTATACCATCAGCACTATCGTTTCCTCTTCAATAATCAGTTATTTGTTAAAGACTACCAATTCAAGAACAGTACTAGAAATAATAGTATTGGGAATAATATCAAGGATCAGTAGAAAAAAACACAGCAAGTTCCATTTGAAAATTAAACTATTCAACTTTTAACTTTTTAACTAACTTTATTCAAGCTTTTACTTATTGCTAGTATGAAGTTTTTAACAGTGAGGAACTGAAAGAACATTTGGAAATAACACATATCAAAAGAAATGAAAAAAGAAGTAAGGTGGGAAACACAAATGTCAGGGGAACACAGCAAACACTCAAGTCAAAAGAAAAATAGATTTGACAATTATCTAGTTATTTTGATCTTTCTCAGAATGGCCAAGGAAATAACTGAATTTCATTTTGAGGTCCTGAATAAGCCAATATTCTAACTTACATGGATCAATTAAGCAGATAATATCTAAATTTCTCCTTCATTTTATGACTGATAGAATAAATCAACTACTCATTTTAAACAAATTCCTGGCTCAGATTATGCAAATTTACCTGACTTATGATGAATGAAAATAGAAAAGCTAGGTACAATACTTTAGCTTTTCACTGTAATTTTGAAATAAGGAATTGAGAGACTGTTATTTACAGTATTTGACTTATAAAACATTACTTATATATGCCAATTTCTGTGCCTTCATATATTCTTTATATACCTTATGCTCCTTAATCCTTACTACAGTCCAATGGAGCTGACACGTTTATTGTAACCAATTTATTTACAGATAAGGAAGCAAAGAGGGAGAGAGGTTCAAAAATATATCTAAGGTCACAAAGCTTATGTGTGATAAAGCTGGGATTTCAAACCAGGCAGTCTGACTTGAATGCCTTTGCTCCTAAAATATTTTATTAAAAACATGAAAACTGCTGAATAAAGATATACAGGAGGAAATGCACTTGTAATTATAATTGCTATCATTTATTGAGCATCTACTATATTCTGGCGCTTTACATTCATAATCTAAATTAACCTCACCTGACATTAGGAATCATTACATTTTATTGATGAGGGCATGGAGGCTCAGAAAGATTAAATATGTTTCCCCAATCACTAAGCTCATAACCAGTGGACAGAATTCAAACCTGATGCCCTATGGGTCCAAAATCTATGTTTTTTATTACTGTGTTCATCTACAATATCTGATATAAGGATGAAAATGCTAATCAAACTTCCCCTGCCCCTCCCCCCCACATCAGATGCTCTAGTGATGCTGATCAGTTGAGAGCTGCGTGAGAGTGAAGTGGCTTGGAATAGGCAGGGGAGACTGGGGAAAGATAACAGAGTATGATGGTGAGGAGAGCTCTCTCACCCCTACCACTACAAGTGGAAAAAATCATTGATCTAGACATAGTGGTAAGTAGCCCAGAGCAACAGAAGAATTCTCACTGTTCCAAACATAACTTCTGGTCATATTATTCGTCACAGTGGAAACCTTAAACTGCTATGCCTATCACAATTTCAAACAGACAGTGTTACTGAAAGCTACCATTCTGGTGATTCTGGCTCCTCAAGATTTTAAGACATGGCCTGAGACTAAAGACAAGACAGGGTAACTCAGATTTCCAAAGTTATTAAAAGCTGTTTTTTCTAAAAAGAAGAGGACAGGTTAATAAGGAAAGGTATTTCTGTTACATAGGAAATAATTTCTATATAAAGATTGCTTTAATTCTAGCTTTAACCTGGGATACTGAAACTTTTCTGACCATGAATTTTTGTTACCTGGCTGCATGTGTTATGTGTCCTAACAGCAAAACTCCACGAGTAAATCCTTTTCTGTGAGAGCATCAACACATCCTCTGCATCAGAACTCTCTGCTGCCTCTCTGCTCCACCATCAGCTCTTGCCTGGACCACTGCTATAGGTTCCTGACTGTCTTTCTGTTTTCACCTTGGCTTTGGCTAATTTACTTTTCATCTATCAGCCCAAAGTTATCTCTCTAAAGGTAAATGAGGCCATGGCACTTCCCCAACAAACCCTCCAATGGCTTTTCAGCCTCCAATGGCTTTGAACTTAGAGACAAATAAAAACAAACAACAAAACTTACCATGGCCCATGAGCTGCTGGCACTTATTATTTGGTTCTGGCCTGTCTCTCTGACCTCATCCATCGCTGTCTCTCTCCATTTCATTCTGTTATACTAGCCTTCTGCTCTTTCTCGAATGCATCAAACATTTGCTCCCTTTCGAGCTTTCCTCTGGCGGCCCTCACAGCCTAGGCCCCTCTGGTTGCAAATCTTCTCACAAGTTCTTCCTTCCCTTCTCTCAGGTGGTTCAAGGGTCACCTCCTGTGAGAGGTCTCTGCCCACACTTATCAACTACTGCCCCTCCCCACCTGCCTTTTATCGTGCCCTTCCACCTCACCCTACTTTATTTTTCTTTAGGGCATTTATCGGCCCCTAAACTATATTATTTATTTGCTTTACAGTCTCCCTCCACCATTTTCTAAGAGCAGGGATTTCTTATTTTACTGGTAGACCCCCCAGTGCCTAGAACAGTGCCTAGTATGTGCTCAAGAAATAGTTGTTGATTTAATTGATTAAAACGGGTTCATACAGTTCTCGAAGACATATTGGTTTGCACACGGAAGTTCTGTGACTCTTAAAGGTCACACTATCTATAACCATTGCTCTCCTATAAGGCCAATGTCTAAAGAATTATAAATGGTACTAGTTGATTCTAACAGGCTGAGTGGCTAATAACATTTTATATTTTGGTTAAAGACTCTTAGACGTTTTTTGAACGCATACCAGTTAAAGATGTTATTAATAATTTAGTTTTTGGATTTTATTAATAATTTAGTTAACCTAAACATCCACTTCCCTTCTAAAAGTAGAAATCCATTATACTATTCATTTGCCTTGAAAATTAGTGGTATCACCATGATATCACAATGGTAGGGTGACAAACAGTAGGCACATAAACATTTGATAAATAAATAACCTGCTCATCATCCAAATAATGATCCTTAATTAAAAGAATATTTTAAAACTATTAAATATTTATATATTTTAAATATTTAATTTTAACTATTTTAAATAAGGGACAGAGAATAAATAATGTCAAAAAGAGATTCCTGTTAGTGAAACTAGCTCCCCAAAGCATCTACATATTAGAATCACTTGGGGATCTTTTAAAATTTCCAGTGCCGTGACCATAGCCCCAACAAATCAAATCACAATTTCTAGTAGCTTTTGAAGCTGCACAGATGATTCCAATGTACAAATAATTTGGGGGGAATTTTTTTTTAAGTAAACTATTACATTGCCCATGAGACAAAGTTTTCACATCAACTTGCTTAGCTATTTTCTATGGATACAAAACTATTTATGAAAATGAAACAACTAGCCAATACATTTTGCAGCATTTTGAAAGTTTGGGGAGTTTTTTATGTTTTGATGTTAGGCAAGAAGTAATTTACTTTTTCAGGCAGTAACTGTGTTCTATGGAACAGTATTCTCGAAATGCTGTTAGTCTAAGAGATCTCAGAAGTCTGTTGTTTCCATCTTGGAGACCTGTTAGCAAGTAAAACAGTTCTGAGATATCTGTCTAGTAACAAAGAAAAATTGAGTCTCTTTCTTTAACTCAGTGTTTTGTAAATATGTTTGAAGGAAAAAAATTAACTCAACAAATTCTTTTTACAATTACACTAATTTATTTCAGTTTTAAATACCAGGTATAGGCTTAGGATTCAAGTGATCTCCAACCCAGGCCGTTTCTCTGAATTGCAGGCTGCCTATCTGGCATCTCCACATAACCCTAACAAATTCTCAATTCTTACATGTCCAAAACTAAGCTCCTGTTTATACAGCTCCTCTGACCCCAACTCACTCCTCTAGCAGGTTTCTTTGTCCGTTTTATTTAACAGATACTTATATAGTGTTTCTCATATGCCAGTTACTTTTCCAAAGCTTCATACATAATAACTAATGTAATGCCCAAACCACTACTATTGTTTTTATTATTATTATTACCATCATTATTTTCATTTTAGAGATGAGGACACTGAGGCACAGAAAAGTTAAGTAACTTTTGCTCAAGAGCTAATACGTGGCTGAGTTCCCCTCACATTTTCAGGTCATTACTCACACAGCCCCTTCCCAGGACTCCTTCCCTGGCTACCTTGTCTACAAGTTCAACTCCTCCCATCTCCTGTGGTTGCTTAATTTTTTCCTATCCTTGCTTTTTAATTTTTCTCCTTAGCAGCTACCACTATATATTTTACTTGACTTATTTGTTGTCTGTCTTCTACAGTCTGTCTTGTTACATTTTTTACACTAAAATATAAGTTTTATGATGGCAGAGTTTGCTGTCTGTTTTCATCATGGCTTTATTCCCAGCGCCTATATGAGTGCCTGCCATGAGTAAACACTCAATGAATACTACTTAATAGAGCTGTTCAGGGACTTCCCTGGTGGCTCAGTGGTTAAGAATCCGCCTGCCAACGCAGGGGACATGGGTCTGAGCCCTGGTCCAGGAAGATCCCACATGCGGTGGAGCAACTAAGCCCGTGCGCCACAACTACTGAGCCCACACGCCACAACTACTGAAGCCTGCACACCTGGAGCCCGTGCTCCGCAATGAGAAAGCCACCGCAATGAGAAGCCCGTGCACCGCAATGAGGAGTAGCCCCGGCTTGCCACAACTAGAGAAAAGCCCACACACAGCAAGGAAGCCCCAACACAGCCATAAATAAACAAACAAACAAACAAATAAGTAAATAAATAAAAGAGCTGTTCAATGGACCAGAACACTAGTGTAGTGGCAAGCACAATCCGGGAATCAGTGGACTAGAGTATCACAGAATAACAGTCAACTT